TTTTTTTTTTTTTTTTTTGTGGTATGATTTCCATGATTGGTTTATCACTGAATCTTTTAAAACCTCTGGTCCAGATGAATCATGATGTCAATCTATGGTATCCTTTAGGAGGGAATTCTTGTTAATTTAATTTTTCATGTGCTGAAACTGGGTTAACTCTTTTTCTCAGATATCCAAAGGCAATTGAGATCTATGAAGATATAGCACGACAGTCGCTCAAAGATCGCATACTGATGTACTCGGTAAAAGATTACCTTCTCATTGCTGGAATTTGCCAGCTGTACAAGAATGATGTCGTTGCTATCAACAACGCATTAGACCGATACAAGGTATTTTTCGTTGTAAAATCGTAACCTTTCGCTGTATGTTTGTAATATACGGTGATAAATTTTTCGTTGTAAAATCGTAACCTTTCGCTGTATGTTTGTAATATACGATGATAAAAAAGAAGCTTTTTGTTCTGCATTTGTAGGACCTCGATCCGACATTTTCCAGAACATGGCAATACAGATTTGTAGTGGTATATGACATACTTCTCAGTCATTCATTTTGTTTTCCCTCGTCTTATAATTTGACAGACATATTTATTCCCTAACACAATTTTTTTTTCTAGATCTGCCTGGATGTGAAATATCACGTATATTTTGTGTCTCTATCGTAGGATTTAGCTGCTGCCATTGACAAGGAAGATACGGCCAAGTTCGCTGATGCAGTCAAGGAATATGATAGGGTTACCCACCTGGTTAGTGAAGTATTTATCGTTACAGTCTCGTTCAGATATTTAGCAATGAAGGTTAGAGCAAAAATCAGAATTAAAAGAATTGTTTTACTTGCTTTTACTTTAGACGAAAGCTCAAATACAGAAACTCGTTTTGTGTGTTTGATCGACAATGTTTGAGTTAAAGATTCCATGACATATGATGGGTTTTATGTAGTTTACGAATTTTAACAGCTCGTTAATGTTTTCTTCGCCCGTTTCTTTGTTTGTTTCGTAGGATGCTTGGATTACAACACTCCTATTGAGAGTGGAGGAAGCCTTGAAGGCCAAAGAGCTCCAGGAGGTTGATCTTATCTAAAAACCCTCGTTGTTGTTTTTTTTCTTTTCTTTTTTTTCATTAGGTAGCTTCATGCTCTATTCAATTCAATTGATTTGACTCTATTTAACTCTAGGTTTCGCAGGGTATTGCTACTTGATTTCTTATTTGGATTGACATAACTGAACTGAATCATTATTTTTCCTTTGTTTATATACTTTCTCAACTGGAATTAGGGCCGAGCATAGGACCGAATCGAATCGAACTCAAAAATAAAAATCATCGAACGGAACCGACTTTTTGGTACGGTTCCGGAGATCGAATTTTGGGATATCCGAATTTTGGTACGGTACCGGAGATTTATCAATCTCCGAACCGTACCGACCCTCGCTCACCCCTAATTGCAATGATGTAATTTCTCTACTGGCATCTTTGTTGGTGGCTTTTACAGAGGTTTACAAACCTCACTTTTAATAATACTCCGGCAAAGCAGCTTTCTTTGAATCCTATTAATCAGTGTCCTCAAAAGTTTGGTTAAAGAGATTATTTAATCTATTTTCTTGGGACATGACAATTCAATCTCAGTTGTTTGATCTCGTAGCCTTGCATGATTAACGGTCAAGATTCGCCCGGCACAACCCAAACTGGCAGATCGGTGCAAAACTTTTTATTTTGTTACAAAAATATTTGAACCTGCAGTGCAGGGTTCTTGAACTGGAACCTTCTTCATAGCCCAGGCCACCAGAGGTATAAATAAATAATGATTTAATTTGTCATTCAAAAAAAAATAAAAAAAATTACTTGTGATAACAACAAATTCATAAATTTTACAATTGATCTTTGATTATCTTAAATATTCGTATTTTAAGTAAGAAATTTTTATATATTATTATGTAAATACAAACTCACTTAAATAAAAATGTGACTGAAAGTACTAAAATAGTGACAAATTCAATTCAAACATGCAAAATAATATTGAAATGTATACATAC